CACAATATTCCAGTAGTGTTCACACCAGTACCCAGTACAGAGATATAGAACCTCTCTACTTCCACCTGAGATTCTGCTATGTATGGGTCCAAAGATCATATTTGCCCTTTTGGCCACAGTGTCCCACTGGGAGCTCATGGTCAGCTGATTATTCACCATGAATAATAATCACCTATATTTTTTGTTGCTAGAGGTATAACTTTACATTTGGACATACTAAAATGCATGTTATTTGCTTGTGCTCAGGTAACTAAGCAATCCAGATGGCTCTGTATGAGTGACATGTCCTCTTCGTTATTTACCACTTCCCCAATCTTTCCGTCATCTGCAGATTTTATCAGTGATGATTGTATATTTGCTTCCAAGTCACTGATCAAAATGTTAAATAGCGTAGGTCATGGGCAGTGGGTATTTTAGGCAAGGGGAGGCTTTGCCTCCCCAAAAACAGCCTACTGTGGCCCTGCCCCCAGACCAGCGTGCCTCTTGGCTCCTGCAGGAATTCAGAGCCGCCCAGGGCGGCTGGTGCTGGGCCATGCTGCCTGCCTGGCGCTGGCTGCCCGAGCACCGGGACTGAGGGCTGCCTAGAGCCCTGAGGCTGTGAGAGCAGCGACTGCGCTGCCTGGCCACTTGGAGCTGGGGGCACGGCGACCGTGCTGCCCAGCCGCCTGGAGCTCTGAGGCTGGGGGGCGCGGGGCTGCGCTGCCCAGGGGCTGTGGGAGCTGAGGCTGCGGCTCGCTGGGGCCTCGCCCCTCCGCCCGGCGCTCGGGGGGCCATGGTGGGGATGCTTTGGGCTCCTGTGGGGGATGGGAAGGCAGAAGGGGAGGGGAGGGTCCTCAGGCACAAAGGGAGGGGCCCAGGGTTAGCTCCAAGAACTGATCCCTGCAGGACCCTACTAGAAAGACACCCGCTCGATAATGATTCCTTATTTACAATTACATTTTGAGCCAGTTACTAAGGGGGCGGAGTCCTCGGCGGGACATTTTTCTGCCAACTTAACCTGTATTTTCCAAGCCTAGAGCTCGGCTGGCAACGTCTGGATCAGACTGAACAGGTTCCAGCCCTCACAGAGAATCTTACCTTCTACACAGGGGATATCTGCTTTCTCCAAAATCAACACGGAAAGAAGAAAACTCCCAAAGAAGCTCCTCCTTAGCACTCAGGTGCGTGACCACAAATCCTCTCTTAGTCCTGAAGGGGAGACCGCGAGAAGGAGGCTTGCTGCAACAGGACTACAGGGGTCTCCAAAGTTCCCACTGCCCTGCGCCCCTATCCTGCCTGGCTGATGTCAAGGGAGCTCTGTGAAGTCACAGCCTCCTCACCACCTTTTCCCAATAGGCTGAGTTCCTGCCAAAGGCCCTTGTGAAGTCACTGCCACACCCACCTCTCCCTTGCAGGGCTGATGTCTGCCCCTGGACAGTCCGGTTCGATATCTGAGCTGCTCCCCCGATCACCTCCCTGCTCACTATTGATTCTGGGGAGCAAGGAGGCTTCCCAGTAAAACATCAGAGTCTGTTACTCACCCCCAAGTTTTTCATAGATTCATAGATTGTGAGGCCCTTAGATCTCCTAATCAGGCCTCTATTTCACAGGCCATGAAATGTCACACACTTACCCCCATATTAAGCCCAATAGCCTGTGTTTCACTAAAACACACCTTCAAGAAAGACAACCAGGTGTGATGTGAGACCATCAGGAAACAGAGAATTCACCTCTTTCATCTGTAATTTGTTCCAGTGATTAATCACCCTCACTGTTAAAATGTATGCCTTACTTCTCATTTGAATTTCTCTGGCTTCAGCTGGTAGCCGCTGGTTCTTGTTGTGCCTTTTCTTAGCTAGAATAAAGAGCACTTTATTACTTCTCATTATCTTCTCTCCATGAAGGTATTTATAGGCCATAATCAAGTCACCTCTCAATCTTCTTCTATAGCTAGCCATCTTGAGATCTACTTGCCTTGAGACAGGCGGTTCAGGGGTTTCAGTGTGAACAACAGGTAGTTTGGGCTCACCTGGACATGCGTAGCGGCTGCCCTAAGAGGCAGAAAGCCTTATATCCAATTTCCCATATAGAGCACATGACTAGTAGCAGGTATATGACCTACACCTACAGCTCTAAGTTTTGAAAGACTGCAAGATGTGGACTAGGACATGTGCGTGCACCCCAGGGCCACTGCCCTGTTAAACTAGGATTCAAGGAAGTGACACGATGAACACCTGTAGTGAAGTTTAGTTGCACAAGTCAAATGAATTCTGCTCCTGGAAGCTGCCAGCTCCTCCGGCAAAAATGCTGGAATTTCTGAATTTCATAAGAAAGATGGAGGAATTAGTGAAGTATTCCAGGTGCCGCACCAAGTATCCAAAAGAGTGAAAGGCAGCCCCCAAGTCCACAGGTTGGCATGGCAATGGAGAACACCCCGCTACTTTTGCATCACAGACTTCTTACAGACTTGGATCCAACTATCTGAAAGACTTTCTTCCTGCTTATTATCCTTCCCAGCATCTGCACTCCCGCTCAAGCCAGCTCTTAATGGTACAGCCAGCTTGCTTTAAGTCAGTGGGTAACTGGATATTTGCATATTAGCCATTAATCTCTGTTTTAATAAAAATATTGAAGACTATTCCACAGGTTCTATAGTACTAAGGAATTGCCAGCATTATAGCTATATTTTAACTGATTTTATTTTTATCCCACATTGTTTTCTAAACTGTTCAACAGGGGCTCCCAAGCACTTTAGCCTAAGAGGATTTTTTTTAACAACATTCTTGGAAAAACTTGTATTCAAAATAAATAAAACAAAAGGAATGTATTTTTTACATAATTCATTTTTTCAGTTATAGTACTTGTATATTGCTAGTCATGATAATTACCGTGGCTAGATACTACAGACAGATAATAAACTTTTTAAGTACTCATAAAAGTATAGCAAATACTTCTGCAGAATTGCACTTTGTGCACACATATCTGTCTGCATGGAAACTATATTATAATCTTACTGGGGTATGAGCCATGTCTGTTTACATCAGTAAAGCAATGAGTACATTGTTGGTATTCTGTAAATAACAGCAGTATGCTACTATAAACAATTTTTAAACTTCCACATAGAACAGAACCAAAACAAAGAGCAACATGTTGAATTCAGGAAAAAAGGTTTTTTTAATAAATAAAATATAATCAGAAATGTGGTTTTGGTAAGAGGGAAAAAATTATGTATCCAACAGTTTTAATTAAAGACTACAAATTATTGAACAAACCATCCACAATCCAATAAAATTTTCAGGAAACAAAACAATTACAGTACTCACCAAAACCATGTTTGCTTTATAAATATATATACATATATGCAAAGAAATATAAGAGGAAAAAGTTGCTTTTCATTACAGAAAGGAATAGCTCAGTCTCTATGTACTCGAAGCATATATAATTGGTTTAACTCCTGAGGACCTAATTCACCACTTCATTCTGGTAAATTATCTCCTGTGAGAGCAAGAGAAACACTACATGCATCTTTGGAGATGATTTCAATATTATTTAAAGGAAAATTGTTTGTTTCTTATTAAAAACTCTTCTCTTTATATATAATCTTATTAGAGAAGTGACTCAAATAATTTTAAGCTTATGATTAAGGCTATGTTTTAGGCATGGGTATTTTTAGTAAAAGTCATAGACAGGTCACGGACAGTAAATAAAAATTCACAGCCCGTGACCTGTCCATGACTTGTACTATATGCCCCGGACTAAATATTGGGGGGTGGGGGTGGCCCGGCGGTGCTGCGGGGGGCATCCCGGGGGCCACCATTAGTGCTGGGGTGAGAGGCAGCAGCGTGCAGCACGGGACCCCTGCAGATACTGGATTGGCAGGGCTGGAAGGCTCCCTACCTGGCTCCGCGCCTCCTTGGAAGTGGCGACATTCCCCCAGCTCCTAGGCAGAGGCATGGCCAGGCAGCTCTGCATGCTGCCTCCTCCCCGAGTGCTGGCTCCGCAGCTCCCATTGGCCAGGAACTGCGGCCAATGGGAGCTGCAGGGGTGGTGTCTGCAGGCAGAGGCAGTGCACAGAGCTGCCTGGCCACGCCTCCGCCTAGGAGCTGAGGGATGTCGCTGCTTCTGGGGAGTCCCCCTGAGGAAAGCGCCACCCGGAGCCCTCACCAGCTCCCGTGCCCCAACCCCCAGCCCTGAGCCCCTTCCCACATCCAAACTCCTGCTGCTGCTGGCGTAGGGGGTGCGGTGGCCCAAGACTGCCCCAGCAGTGGCTGGTAAAGCTGCAAAAGTCATGGAGGTCCCGCAAAGTCATGGAATCTGTGACCTCCATGACAAACTTGCAGCCTTACTTGTGATAATGTTCATGTGCCACAAATAAACATATTGCTAAACTGTTATCACTTTAATTTTCATTAAAGTTAAGCTTCCTAATTTTGACAGGTTTCAGAGGAACAGCCGTGTTAGTCTGTATTCGCAAAAAGAAAAGGAGTACTTGTGGCACCTTAGAGACTAACCAAGGTGCCACAAGTACTCCTTTTCTTCCTAATTTTGACAGGTTTCAGAGGAACAGCCGTGTTAGTCTGTATTCGCAAAAAGAAAAGGAGTACTTGTGGCACCTTAGAGACTAACCAAGGTGCCACAAGTACTCCTTTTCTTCCTAATTTTGCTGCTATTTCAACACACTAAGACAATTTGCTTGTTATACTGGACTCTTCTTAAGACCCTCAAAAACTAGAAGTAACCTTGATGTCAAGATTAAGGAAAGTAACTCAAAGGTATTAAATCGTATATACAAAAAAAGCTTAGGAAATGTGAGTCCTGCTAAATGTATATAATGTACAGAGAGTTAACATTTTTGTGAAAAGCCAGTATTTGTAAATGCACTGAAGTGCAAAGCCTTCTCAAACCAATTGCAAAGAAAATCCTTTACATACTTGTGATAGGTAACATTAAATTTGACCCTTCCAAAAAGAAGGGATAAGGGGGAGGGCAGGGGGAAGAGTATATATTGAGTAAAGCTATACTGCAAGTTATTTCTTTTTATTATTGCCTTTGTTTCTCTCCCAAGTCAGTGGCTGAAGCACCCTTCTTAAACAAACAATAGGTATCATTTGGCATTGTAAGTTTATACACAACACATCTTTTGGACTTAGCTCAACAAGTGACTATCAACTATCTAGTGAAAATGTTTTCTCGCAGGTGATTTACCCTATTTTTTTTAATTTGAGGACCCTAATGTGTCAGTTTGTCCTGATTGTATAATTATGTATTTTTTGTTTTTCTGAGGCAGATCACAGGTGATATGGGTCAGTACAAGCAAGCAAGATGTTAACATAATAAACCTGTGTGTCCTGCAGTCATAATTTTATGTTACTTGAAATCCTACTGTTGCCGGCAAAGGACTTGGCTTAAAGGTGATAATTTACTGGAGATGGTCACTTCTTGTACTTCATGGTTAGAAATCAGTCTTATATTCTAATAATGGGGATGTGATAGTGATGGTCATCCTCAGTCAGAAGAGAGACTTCCTGCCAGTCTCTGTGATACTCCTCTGGATAGTTTACTTGAAACTCTTCAGTGTTAAATTTATACAATCTGTAAACTCTTATCTTTACTTCAAGTAAATATCCAAGAAGAAACATTTCAACCTAAGGGGGAAAAAAAAAGATGTAAACATTTGTTTATAGATTTATAAGAAGGAAACTGGGGGGGGAAAACATCCCACACTTTAATCATGCTCTGATGTTTAGTGTAAGTCATTTAACTTGTTTACTTGTGTAATAAGAAGAGTGGACTAGGAATTACAACAGCAGGAATTTCCCACAACCAACCAAAGATGATAAGCAGCCAAAGGAGATCTGTGTCAAAAGGGCAAATATACTTTCTAAAGTGGCCTATCTGGAAAGCTTCTATTAAAAAAAAAACAAAAAAAAACCCCCACACGAAAAACAGGTGCAAAAGGTGAAATAGGTCAAACATGCAGGATACTGTCATCTAAACACCATGTTATTTTACATATCAGTGATATCACTGCTTTTAATAATTTGTATAAAGATTTGGAGACACTTATTTTGGAGACACTTTAAAATCCCCCCCCCCACACACACACACTTTTTAACTGCTTTTTCCTCTTGGAAAAATTTGCTTTTTACCCTTCCAAATAAAATAATTCTATCATGGATGATGTATTAAATAGAGCTGAGCAAATAGCTGATTTTTTGACTCAGTGGCTGAACTGAAAAAAAACATCAGTTTCAAAACAAAACTAAGTTTTTTTGTTTTTTCTCACTGAAAAGAAAAAGAAAAATTATTTCGGGTCAAACCGTTTAGAAAATTTTGATTAGAAATGATATTTTGTTCAGAAAATGTCAAAACGGTTCATTTTAAAAAGATCGAAACAAAATGATCTGATATTTCCAAACTTTGTCTTCCAGTTTCTTTCTGGTTGAAACTATTCGCTAAATCCTACCTGAATTTGCAAACAGTTTAGGTGTGCTAAAAACAATGCATTTTTCACCCAGTCCTAGTATTGAAGTATACTAGGAACATCAAGTCAATGAATAAGAACTCAAAAGTATTCCCAATCCCTAATCCTTCAGAAAACACAGACTGCTAGAACTCATTTTTTATTCACATCATTACCTGCTCCAGACTACCCGTGTCCCCTATGGAATTCAGATGATTCATCATGAAACTCAAAGGGTCAGATGACGTATCACGAGCAAAAAGGAGGCTAAAAAGGATGGGGACATGTTTCTGCTCATTCTTCATCTGTTCATAGGCTTCCACAACTTGGTAAAGCATGATGAATTTTATAGCCTCATACAGCTTATATTCCTTGCTTTCATCAGAGAAAAGGATATTGCACATGTTTCCTCTTTCGTCATGGTCTTTAACACCACTTATTTCAGTCCACTACAAAGCATACACAAGAAATTCAAATCAGCCGCTTAACTCATGACTAATAAATGTTTTGTGTGCTATTTTTTTTTAATGGTAACTATTTTTTATAAGGATTAAAAAAAGAATAATCACTGGGACTCAATAACCATTATCATAACTAAAGTAAAAATAAGTGGAAGAACTGAATGGCTTTTAGAGAATGGCAATGGAACTCAAAGCCTTTTATGTATATGTCACCATTTTGAAGCACCCGAGGTTGTTAGTTACAAAAAATAAAGGGACAGTACCAGAACTATTAGTTCTGAGGCTCAATCCCTCACTGAGTCTATGAAACTGATTTGATCAGGAAGGTCAAAAGACCAAAACTGATTAATAAAGAACTCTGTCAGCATTTAAAAGGACACTCTCTTTGGAAACCAGACCGAAAAAAACATTCACAGGGACCAGTGGGCATGCCTGAAAATAGATGTGCCTCAATTGCCATTATGGAATTGTAGCAAGTTGGGTAAGACAGGCTGTTTGTTGTTTTAAACTCCTCCCCGCCACCTCTAATGCTTTATTCTAGTTGTATACTTTGTTTTTAAAGGTCTGTTGGTCACTGTATCATTGATCACAGATTCCCAAAAGGGAAGAAACACAAGTGTCTGAGACCCAGCTGGAACTGCAGGGAAAAAAAGGGAGGAGGTGTTGCCTTCTGTATCAAAGATGTACACACTTGGACTGAGGTTGAGATGGAGATAAGAGACAGACTTGTGGAAAGTCTCTGGGTAAGGATAAAAGGGGTAAAAAACAAGCTTGATGTCATGATGGGGGTCTACTATAGGCCAACATCTGTTGGGGAAATAACAAAACAGAGAATAGATTACCCACAAGTTCTTTGAATGCATTGGAGACAATTTTTTTATTTCAGAAGATGGATAATGCTACTATGGGAGAGGCTGTTTTAGATTTGATTTGGACAAATATGAAGGAACCAGCTGAAAATTTGAAGGTGGAAGGCAGCTTCGGTGAAAGTGATCATGAAATGATAGAGTTCATGATTCTAAGGAATGTTCGGAGGGAAAACTAGGGACCGACCTAGTCCCCAGACTAGGGACCGACCTAGTCCCCAGACTAGGGACCGAATGGCTAGGCAGCAGTTCTGCGGAAAAGGACCTAGGGGTGACAGTGGACGAGAAGCTGGATATGAGTCAGCAGTGTGCCCTTGTTGCCAAGAAGGCCAATGGCATTTTGGGATGTATAAGTAGGGGCATAGCGAGCAGATCAAGGGACGTGATCGTTCCCCTCTATTCGACATTGGTGAGGCCTCATCTGGAGTACTGTGTCCAGTTTTGGGCCCCACACTACAAGAAGGATGTGGATAAACTGGAGAGAGTCCAGCGAAGGGCAACAAAAATGATTAGGGGTCTAGAACACATGACTTATGAGGAGAGGCTGAGGGAGCTGGGATTGTTTAGCCTGCAGAAGAGAAGAATGAGGGGGGATTTGATAGCTGCTTTCAACTACCTGAAAGGGGGTTCCAAAGAGGATGGCTCTAGACTGTTCTCTATGGTAGCAGATGACAGAACGAGGAGTAATGGTCTCAAGTTGCAGTGGGGGAGGTTTAGATTGGATATTAGGAAAAACTTTTTCACTAAGAGGGTTGTGAAACACTGTAATGCGTTACCTAGGGAGGTGGTAGAATCTCCTTCCTTAGAGGTTTTTAAGGTCAGGCTTGACAAAGCCCTGGCTGGGATGATTTAACTGGGAATTGGTCCTGCTTCGAGCAGGGGGTTGGACTAGATGACCTTCAGGGGTCCCTTCCAACCCTGATATTCTATGATTCTATGATTCTATAAAACAGCACAATAAAGATAATGAATTTCAAGAAGGCAGATTTTAGCAAACTGAGGCAATTAATTGGTAGCTAAGATCCCATGGGAAGCAAGTCTCTTTGGCCATGTCTACACTACCCGCCGGATCAGCGAGTAGTGATCAACATATCAGGGATCAATTTATCGTGTCTAGTGTAGACACGATAAATCGATCCCCGATCGCTCTGCCGTCAACTCCGGAACTCCACCATGGCGAGAGGCAGAAGCAGAGTTTACGGGGGAGCAGTGGCAGACGATCCCGTGCCGCGAGGATGTGAAGTAAGTGATTCTAAGTCGATCTAAGATACGTTGACTTCAGCTATGAGAATAGCGTAGCTGAAGTTGCGTACCTTAGATCGATCCCTCTCCTCCCCCCCCAGTGTAGACCAGGCCTGAGAAAAACAGTTCAAAAGAGCTGGCAGTTTTTCAAAGATACCTTTTTAAGGGCACAAGAGCAAAATATCCCACTGCGTAGGAAAGATAGGAAGTATAGGAAGAGACCACCCTGGCTTAGCCAGGAAACCTTCAATGATCTGTAACTCAAAAAAAGAGTCCTATAAAAAGTAGAAACTAGGTCAAATTACAAAGGACAAATATAAACAAACAACACAAGTATGTAGGGACAAAGTTAGAAAGGCCAAGCACAAAATGAGATTAAACTAGCTAAAGACATAAAGGGTAACAAGAAAACATTCTACAAATACATTAGAAGCAAGATGAAAACCAAGGACAGGATAATCCCATTACTAAATGAGGAGGGAAAGACAATAACAGAAAATGTGGAAATGGCTGGAGCACTGTAAGCAAGACACAAGAAGTAATTCTTCTACTCCACTCCCTGCTGATAAGGCCTCAGCTGGAGTATTGTGTCCAATTCTGGGCACCACATTTCAGGAAAGATGTGGACAAATTGGAGACAGTACAGAGGAGAACAACAAAACCGATTAAAGGTCTAGAAAACATGGCCTATGAGGAAAAATTGGGTTTGTTTAGTCTGGAGAAGAGAAGGCTGAAGGGAGACATGATACCAGTTTTCAAGTACATAAAAGGTTATTAGGAGGGTGAAAAAATTATTCTCCTTAACCTCGGTGGATAGGACAAGAAGCAATGGGCTTAAATGGCAGCAAGGGAAATTTAGGTTGGATATTAAGAAAAAATTCCTGTCAGGGTTGTTAAGCCCTGGAACAAATTGCCTAGGGAGATTGTGAAATCTCCATCATTGGAGGTTTTTAAGAACAGGTTAGACAAACACCTGTCAGGAATGGTCTAGTTATTAGGTAATCCTGCCTTGAGTGCAGGGCACTGGACTAGATGACCTACTGAGGTCCCTTCCAGCCCAACACTTCTATGATTCTATGATAAGTGCTTGGCATACATGAAGTAGTGTAATAAGGACCCAAAATCACAAGCTGCTGCCCCAAGACAGAGAAAGGCAAAGAGACCAAAAAGGCCTGATGTGGATGCTCTCTGAGAGACCTGAACGGGGGCAGAGGTGTAGTCATCCCTGTAACAAGTGACAACAGGGTCTCAAAAGATATAAGATCATTTGCTGGTAAACCAAGACAAAAAGATATACAGTAGAATTAAAAATGAACATGTAAAGACCAAAATAGTGATGACCAATAGTTACAGGGACATACTTATGCCCATACGTAAATCCAGTAAATACCAGTAACATCTGACAGATTGCACAGGAGCAATGTTTTGAGCGGAAAGCCGATACTTCTGTGACAGTAAATGATTTCCCTTTTCAGTCTCATTCCCCCCTTCTAACATTTTTTTTCCATTTCCTAAATAGTCACCTGTGTCTTTAATGTTTCAATACATTTACGTAATTTTCCAAATACGTTGGCGCCTGTGTATCTTTCTGGTCCAAAACTATATTGCTGAATCCAGTTGCAGCCTTGTGAATACAGAAGCTTTTCAGGGAGCTGCAAAAATATAATAGGGGAGAGATCACTACTGTAACAACAAGCAGAATATACTATTGTAAATAATTTAGGTATAGAAAAGATACGTTTTAAATGATAAACCACATTCTGAATAAGATTAAAACCCTGAGCCTACAGCTTTAAAAAAAGGGGAGGTTACTTACCTTGTGATAACTGGAGATTCTATGAAATGTATTGATCGGTAGTGCACTTCAGGTGCTCATGAACTCCATCCGCCCAGAACCAGAGAATTCTTCCTAGCGGTGTCTGCTCGGTCCGCGTATGTGCCCACGCGCTCCTTATGCCCCTCACCAAGGGTATAAAATGGGCTGCTGGACCACCCCCTTCTCAGGTCCTTCTCCACCACAAGGTTCCACAATGGGATTCGAGGCAGTGGGAATAGAGGGTAAGTGGTGCATGACACATAAGAGCATTTCAAAGAACTCCAGTTACTACAAGGTGAGTAATCTTTCCTTCTTTGAGTACTCGTCATTTTGTGTGGTGCACCTCAGATGATTTACAACCAGAGTCCCTCCCAAGGAGGTGGATGCCTGCAGCCTTGCACCACTACAGAATGCAGGACTGACCTAGCCCAGGAGGCATCCAAGTCAGATGCTTGGACCAGAGCATGGTGCCTCACAGAGGTGTGTACCAAGCCCCAGGCTGCTGCTCTGTAGATGTCAATGATCCTTGAGTGAGGCTATCCAAGCTGCCTGGACTCTCATCTAATGTGTTCTTACACCACTCCCAAGAAGGATCTCATTCAGCTTGTAGCAGAGTACCGTGCAGCTTGAGATCCATTTTGGCAGCCTCCGGTGGAAAGGGCCTCTCCCATCATCCTCTCTGCAAATGAGACAAAGAGTCTAGGTGACTTCTAGAATTGCTTTGACCTCTACAGTAAAAGCGAGAGCTCTATGCGCATCCCAGGAGTGACACTTTGCCTCTTCCCTTGTGGCGTGCGGCTTGGGGGAGAACACAGGTGACTGGATGCTTTGGTTGATGTGAAAGTCAAACCTCACATGCAGTCTCATGGACACCTTGTCCTTGTGTTATACTGCGTGGGGGGATCTGCCATGAGCACCCCTAGTGCCCCTTCCTGACTGACATGACAGTGACCAGAAACTCTACCTTCACAGAAACGAGCTGTAGGGAGCACGATGCCAACGGCTCAAACGGCAACCGCCTCAGACTGAATAAGACTAAGTTTAAGTCCCAGGCTGCCACAGGCTTCATCACTGGAGGGAAGTCCCTAACTAAAACCTGCAGGAACTGGGATGTAAACGGGTGAGAGAGAACAGTGTAGCTAACCACTGTCGGGTGGAATGCACGGATGGCTGCCAAGTGGACCCTCAGAGAGCTGAGGGACAGCCCTGAGGATTTAGAAGGTAACAGGTAGTCCAACATGTAAGGCACCCCTGAATGCAAGGGGGAAATTCCCAGTTGATCATACTACATCACAAATCTCTTCCATTTTATAGTGTAGCACCTCCTGGTAGAGTTTTCCTACAGCTACTCTGTAAGGTCTGCATGTCAGCCAAACAAACACTCTTTAGGGTCAACATCCATCCAAATACCACACCCTCAGGTGCAGCATGGATGGGTTGGCGAGTCCTCCCCTCATCCTGCGTCAAGAGGTCTCACACCACGGGAAGTGGAGAGGACCCCAAGCAAACAAGTGCAACAGAGTATAGGATACAAGAACTGACAAGGCCTCCCCAATGCCATAAGAATGGCTCGCACCTTGTTCTGCGTGATCTTTCTTAAGTACCTGTGGTCACAGAGGGATCGGGTGAAATACAAACCTCAGAGCCTCCAAGCATCACACGAGGAAAATGTCACCCAGAGAGCCTGAGCTGCAACCCCTCTGTGGAGGGGAACTCCCTGCACTTCTTGTTCTGATCTGACACATTTAAGTCTGTGATTAGGTGAGCCCATTCTGGAAACACCACCTGCAGAGTCAGGCCACGAAACTCCCACTCATTCTCACCGCACAAGTGTCTGCTAAAGGAGTCAGCCAGGGTGTTCTGAAACTCTGGCAGATGGACTGCTCAGGGCAATGTTCAGAGGTATGCACCCATTCCAGACATGGATGGTCTCCATGCAGAGATGTGAGGACCGTGCACCTCCTTGCTTGTTGATGTAACAGAGCACTGTTATGTTTCCAACAGCACCTGGACCAACTGGCCCCAAATGCAAGGGGGGAAATGCCTGCAGGTCAGCCAAACCACCCTCACCCTCCAGCACAGTGATGTGGAAAATTCACTCCTGAGGGGACCACATCCCTTGGTCCATCGGCCCCTCCATGTGACTTCCTCCGCCTGACAAAGAGGTGTCTGTGGTCATAGTCCTAGCCAATAGCAGGTAACAGAACAGGACATCCAGGCACACACCTTTCTCCTGTCTTCACACTGGCCAAAGCAGTCTACAACCCTTCAGGGAACAGAGACTAGCAAGTTGAAACTGTGTGGACACCATCCGTAGCCACGCCTGCAGGCACAAAGTGATTGTCTGGCAAATATGACACTGGGTCCAGCCGTACCCCAATGACCTCTATAGCCTGTGTCAATTCCACAGTGAACTTGTCCAAGTTCACCCTGAGACGCAGTCTTTTTGACCAGGCCCAGGAGTGTGACCAGACACCTGCGCCTCCTGGCAAGGTCGCCTCTTGAGGAGCCAATCGTCCAAGTGGGGGTACGCTAATGGCCCCTACTGGGGATAATGCGCTGCTACCACCGGCCGTGCTGTGGTGAATACCCTCAGCGCCACTGAAAGTCTGAAAGGAAGTCCTGAGTACTGGTAGTGCTGCTGCCCAGCGGCAAATCTCAGGAGTCTCCTGTGGCGCGGGTGGACGTTTATGTGGAAATAGAGATCGAAAGCCATGAACCAATCGCCAAGATCTAGTGAGGGAAAAACTGAAACCAGGGTGATCACCCTCAACTTCAGGCTGCAGATAAACTTGTTCAGCTCCCTGAGGCCCAAAGTAGGTCTCCATCCCCTATGACCCCATCTTTTTGGGGACGAGGAAATACCTCAAATAGAAACTCTTTCCCTTTGCTGCCAGGGGCATTGATTTTATCGCCCCTCATTGCAGGACAGCCTCCACCTCCTGCTGAAGAACCCGCTTGTGAAAGTTGTCCATGAAAGAGAATGGAGAAGGGGGTTTGGGGTTGGGGAGGGACAAAAGCTGGACGGTATATCCCAAGATGACCTCTAGTACCCACTTGTCTGTCGTGTCTCTCTCCAGATGGGGAGGTACCGGGGCAGCCACACTTCAAAAGTTGAAGAAACGGGGGAGGAGCCTAAATCCACTGGTCTGGCTCGTGCCTGGTTCTCAAGAGTCCCAACAAAATGCTCATTTGTGAGTCTGATGGATATGAAGGATGATTGCTCCTGGGCACTCCTCCTCTGCTTCCTCTGGCACTTGTGGTGCTGCCACGGGTGACAACACTGGCTTGGGTGGGCCTCTGCCTGAACTGTGGCTTGATGGACTTGCGCTTCATCACAGGTGTGTAATTGCCAACCAAACTGAGCATGGCTCAGGAGTCCTTTAGCGAATGGTGGGATTCATCCATCCTCATGCTGAACAGTTTGTTACACTCGAATGGAAGGTCCTCCATCATTAATTGCATGTCCTTTTGGATCCCTGATGAAGACAGCTACAACTAATGTCTCATTGCCACTGCCATAGACATGGACCGTGCCACAGTGTCTGCCACATTTAGGGCTGTCAGGAGGGTGGATCTGGACACTAGCTTTCCCTCACTGATTAGGGCCTGAAACTGCTCCCTATTGTCCTGAGGTATCATCTTGATGAATTTGATGAGCCTATTTTAGATGTTAAAGTCATACTTGGCCATCAGCACCTGGCAGTTCAAAATCCAAAACTGTAGAGAAGGCGAAGAGTACTCTTCCCTCCCAAAATTCTCTTAGCCGCCTTTTCGTGAGGCATGGATCTGGCAGCTGTTGCCTACTGCACTCCGTTGCTACTGTCACCATCAGCAAACTGGGGGTCAGGTGGGAAAAAAAGGTATTCTGACCCCTTTGTGGGCATGAAATCTCCCTCCTGTGCCCGCCTGGACACCACAGTAATGGTGGCCGGCATCTGCCAAAGTGTCTTAGTTTGCTCAAGGATGGCCTTGTTAATTGTCAGCTCCACCCTGCTTGGTCCCAAGCTGTGCAGAATGTCCAGCAGTCTATGCAGAGTCCCCAGGACCTCTTCCAGGGAGATGTGCAGGGCCTCAACACCCTCTTAAGCAAGCCCTGGAAGACCTTAGGGTCAACCAGGCACTGTGGAGAAGCTGGTATTACTGCTTCCTCTGGAAATAATACGGATAAGCTCACCGATGCACTCTCCTCCTGCCCAGGCTGGTCCTCATCTTCTGAGGGTGTCACTGTTCCAGGGAGCCTGTGGAGATTCTTCCTCTCACAGGAGAGATTTATCTCCCTGAGCTCCCAAGTCCCTCAGTGTGGGTACAAAACGCAGTGGGTCTGTGGATCTTCCGGGCCCCACTATTGCCACTGTAGAGCCTCATACCCCATCATAGCATCCCCAAGATGATGGGTACCAATACAAATAGGGTGAATATTCCCTGGGACGGGAGTACTGTGACACTCAGGGATGCCCGATGCCCTATCTGGGCTTAACCCTCACAAAAGTCACCTTGGGGAGTAGTATGGGAACAGGCCTCCTGTTCCTGGTACCTCAAGAGTCAAAAGATTTTGAATCTGAGTCCAATGGGGATCTCTCAGTACCAGGAGGTGGCGATGCCCTGTCTCTATTAGTCAACAGTACTGGCGAAAGCCTGGCTTGACCCTAGCTCAGTGATGGGATACAGGCTGGTATCAACTGGCATGTTGGTATAACTGGGTGCAGGTCTCTGGACAGCAATAGTGACTCTGGTTCCTAGCGGATCAGAAAGTCATCCAGTGCCAAACAGTGAGCTGAAGCTGAGAGGCCCACCTCCTTCTCCACCACGAGGGCGGTTGGTGCCATCGTCAAGGGAGCCGAGGATGCCAGTCTGGATGTGGGCGCTGGAGGTGCCAAAGTTCAGGTCCCAAACAGGGTCTTGCCCTTAGTCGATGCCCTAGGCTGATCTTTCACAGTGCCAAATGCTGCTAAGTGAGAGCACGAGGCTTCCCCCACCTCGGAGAGGGAAGAGGACTTCTGTCTCTTTTTAGAGGAGTTGGAAAAGCAACTTCCCCTCATTTTTATGAGAGCATTTGTGTCTCCTTTCCTCTGTTTTAATCCCAGGTCTTCTCACCCAAGTCTTTTGGAGCCGATGGGGGATTGGGAGGAGAGGCCTGGAACCAGCTAAAGCCACACTCCTACCTTCCTCAGGCCGACATACAGGGGGCAGAATCTGGAGCTGCCCTCATGGACCTATCCATGAGAAACGTCATGAGACGGATCTCCCTTGACTGCCTCATCCTGCGTAGAAATGACCTACAAGTACTGCACTTGGTAGGGATAAGGGCTTCCTACAGGTGGTACAAAAAGAGTCATTACTGTCGTTTACCTGGAAGTCCCCCTGGCAGTCCACAAAGCTCTTGAAGCCGGGAGCCTATGGCATATTCACCCTGCCCCAGAGTGAAGCTGAGGAGCGGGGGGGAGAGAAGGAATGAGGAGGTGAAGAAGGGAGGATCACTGCCCTACACAAGGGGTGTTCAATGAGAGCACAAAATATAGTAAGCTAAACTATTTACAGGTAAAGGCTGAAAGGATGCAGTGACCTGAGGCTCCATCCCAGACCCCAAGCAGTGAGAAGGAACTGAGAGGGCCGTGGTCTGGCAGCCCCTTCTTCCCCTCGGTGCAGAGCACATGAATGGACTGAACAGACACTGCTAGGAAGAAGCCTCTGGTCCCAGGCTCATGGAGCGCATATACAACCTGAAGTGCACTACAAAAAAAGAAAAGCACTCAAAAAGAAACCCCCAGTCATCTACCACTGTAACTAATGGTAAAGCTCTGTTGACTCTCAGCTTCATAAGAGCTTTTATAGCCTTTTCAATAGATAACCAGCCAATAAAGAGCACAATGGGACCCTCATCCCAGACCGGGATGTCAAAGCACCCCCAATACAAATAGTAAATAATAATCCCTGTCCAGTGGCAGGCATAAGTCTTAAAATGGGACCACATAGATTATTATTATGCTTTATTAGCATGATAGAAATAGCCCTTATACCCATGCCCCCTCAGACATGATACTATAGTATACCCACCCATCCCCCTTCATTTATTCTTGTACTCTTAACAATAAGGGAACACAATGGACTTGATACTTGCTTCCACTTTTGCATAGTGCTTAATCTGTCTTGCTCCCCCCTGTACGCTCTACTCACGCTTGCAATGGAGTACAGCAGTTTTAGAGAAGTTGTTGCTGGATCAAATCCGCCTTTTATAATATAAGGACATGTAAATTTTATTTGCTTCAGCAACTGAAACATACCTTTAAAATGTCTCTCTCCTTCATCCATGATGGAAAATAAATGCCCTGGCTGAATACCTGAAACAGCACAGCTCTTAATGCACAGTAGTTATCTCTTCTGACTTGTCGTATATATTTAATATGGTATCTCCAAAATAGTTCTTTATAAGCCTAAAAAAAGGCCAAAACAACAGTGAACAACGTGTATCTTAAATCCTAGAATGAAACAGTGAGACAAGTTAGCTTTGAGGCTAATTTCAACATGTTCTTAAGGGTCTATACAAATTCTGTTTTCAGTGGAGTAATACTACTGACCTCAGTGGAGTTACTGCTGATGAACACTAGTACAAGGGAAAGCAGAAGACATTTGATTTCACTATAGATGTATACACTTTCTACCAGTTTCAACATGTTTATACATGGTCTGGACATTGTACTTCTCCAATTTCCATAATGATCTTTATGATCATCTGTTTGTGTGTATAATTCAATGCATATTTAAATAATTTTTTATTCTCTCTCTTGAACTTGAAATTGATGTTTAGCAGTTTATGTGTTGTGAACAGAAGATAGCAAACTGCTATGGCCAAAAAGGTTTGATGTGGGGAATTTTTATGGAGTCACTGGTGCTGTCAGTCTAATACTAACAGTCCTAATCTTTGATGAACATCTGCTTCCTAGGCACTCAGAGGTGCTAGGAATTTGTTATCAAGGTGACTGAGAAAAAGATCACAACTTTTGTGTGCAGAACTTCATATGACAATGCCAATATTTCAAAAAGAAAATTTGGATCCAGATGTTAGGTTCATACCACATTGTTTTCTCTTCTAAAATTGTGTATCTAGCAATGTACAGCAGATGGAGCCCTTCCATTGCAAAAATTATGCCACTGGATTACTAAATTGATTCTCAATCTGAAGATAGTTGGCACAAAATGCTTTAATGCTGAATGATAACCCGAATATTTATTTCGCCCTCTGTGATCTCTGGGAAATGCTTTCTTGTGTCTCTTCAGCCATTACTGATACTATTTATTCATTCACTATTCGTTTTCTGAAGATTTTATTAAGAATTGGTGCATGCAACAATAGCATAACTACTGACAAGCAGTTTGCAGCGGAGCAAACTAATCCAACACATCGCGTCTAGTCTATTTTAAAAAGACAGGGAACTGGGATATAATCACAACTCTTCACATCCGTGGCAATTACTAGGCTAAATCCCCATGACCTACTGTGATGGCCAAATATGGCTTCTAATTTCTAAAAGCTTTTGTGCCCATAAAACATGTTGTTTGGCATCTTCACTGTATTATGTAAACCTGTAACTGACTATGCCAGCAAACTACAGGCCAGGATGAGACCACTGAAATTTCTGGCCTCATTCTTTGGCTGCCAGAAAAATAATGGGCCGATATCAAGAATAAACGTTTTAAACCCCAAATGCCTATTTTATGCTACAGCATTCTAGAAAGCACAGCTATGCATTTAAAACAAAGACTCCCTCCCCCTCCAAACTGAATCAGCAGCAGTCCTGAGAACTGGGAGCATGCCAGCATTGCCAGGTTGTTAGTTGCTAGGCTGTTGCCCCCACCAACACCTATTTTCCAAACAGTGGGATGAGAGGGTCATTGCTACATTTCCAAAAATAATGCTATTAATAGTCACATTCCCAGATACACTTGTGCAAAAGATCAAGCCGCACAAGTTTTCCCTCAGTATCACTTCATTAAATATTAAACATAGTCTTGCTGAAATTATAGGAAGTGCCTAGCTCAAACCCACACATTTCCTGAGAAAAGTCAGAGTTAAGGCATGAAACAATTCATGACAGTAAGTAAACTCCACACCCAAACCTTTGCAGAGTGAGTTAAGGATTGGGTGAGAAGTCACAATGCTGTGGTGTTTGGTTTTAACTATACTAAAAGTCACATTATCTTGGCGTTTTGTGTTTAATATCCTTTTTTCTTCCTACAAGATACCACTAAAAATAATCACTTGTCATTAAACTGATTCCAGTTCTTCAGACTAGTACATTTTCAAAGAGGTTTTAATATATGGATTACTAAAACAAATTGTAATAGCATTATGCCAATGTACTTGGGGTGTAATCCAGAAATTTGGCTATGTAATAAGATGATTATCTGAAATTTATAGCAGGTAGCTTGTGTACATGTTATTCTAGGCTACAAAAACTCTCATTTTCACTTTTTACAATAAAATAAAACCAAGTATAGAAGGAGTCATTGTGGACCAACAGTAAAATATCATTGCCTCTCTTCCTTGATCCGTGGTTCAGTCGGAAGAAAGGACAAAAGAGAACTGGTGCCTCTTTCTTTTTGGATTTGTAGCATCAGGCTCAGTTTGGTTTTGGGGGTAATTCAGCATGTCGGCACTTGCTGCCCACATTGCGTGAGTCCCGCTACAGTATTGCGGAGATTACTTTGCCCCATCATGTGCTGCGAGGACAGTTGTGGTGAGCTTAGGTGTTTGAGTATATACTTGGTTGCGTTTTGTTTTTGTTTCATCGAAACCATCAATTCAGCTTTTGTATTAACTTAGTTTAGTTTCTTTGCAGTTAGAAATTAGCAGTTCTGTAACTACTATTCCTCCTACAAAGGGGTGTGTGCTAGTGAATCAGATCCATTGCTTCGAGGGCTAAAGACAAGTCTCGTCTGGCCAACCTGCGCTCAAGATCAGGACCCAAAGTTGGGGAAAACAACAGTAGTTATATGCCACCTTTGTGTTCCCCCAGAGCTTTTGGAGAATTAGTTTGGTGCCCAGGACAAATTAAATCTGCTCAGGGCTACTTTAACTTCAACCAGCTGGCCTGAGAACCACAGTGCAGTTCTGCTCTGAGTATGCCTTCCAACACAGCCATACACCAAAGGGTGGCCAGCTCTTCTAGCTCTATGGCAGCCATGAATTCCTCCATGACAAGGGAATCTCCAGCTGCCCAGTTAGGCTAGCTCGTTGGCTCGTTTGTGCTGGTAGAGCAGTGCAAAGAGGATGCATCAGTGCTGAGGATCTGGTCCATTTCTGAGTAATTCTTGCCTGTAAGGGTACATCTGCACTGCAGCTGGAGGTGTAACATCCAGCTCAGGTAGATGTACACGTGCTCACTCAATCAAAGCTAGTGTGTACACATCTACCCTAGCTGGAAATTATACCTCCTGTCTATATATAGAACTGTGTATCTAAGGAGAGCTTGCCGCCTTCCCTTTTTGAAATTCATTTGATCTCACACAGCTCATAACACATGCTTACATCAACACTGGATGGAATTTATTCTTTTTTTCAAGCTCAGTATTTTTTTTCAAACTTTTTATATCTAGATTTAACTTTAGAAACTCTTACCGCCTTCATCTGCTTGGCCTGCTTGGTTTCTCCTTTCCATTCTCTTGCACAATAACCAAGCAGATCAACTTCTGCCAGTACACTGAGGTTCTCTAAACCAAATTTAATTCACAGATTAGTTAAACATCTACTTTTTTGCATTTAAAAAGAAGGAAAGTTATAATGCAGATTGGTAACAAAAAAGTTTACTTTTAAATTTTCTCTGCAGATATCTGCTCCACCTGAAATCCAAATGATAAAACAACTGTCAAAAAGAATTTGCAGCAAGTAAATATTTAATGAAAGAACAAAGATACAATTGAAAACGAAAGGCATTGTAGTAAAAACATACCATTTCAACAGCTGTGCTAAGTATGCATAGAGCCTTCTACAATACCAGAGAGCAGCAAGGAGAAAAGACATGACTAATATTAGTTGTCTCTCTATTTTTTGCCACACAATATGTAAGAATTGGTTGATAGTGGTCATCCAGGATTGCATTTCATTCCTTCCTGAAACAAAAATTAAAAAGTGATCAATATCTCACTGTTTCACAATATCTGTATACACCCCTAGTACTACTGACTTTATGTTGCCAAGCATTCAAAATGAGTCAGTCCTCAAAAACCATGAGATTGGCTTAAAACCTATGAGATTTTTAGAAATGATAAATTTGGGGGCTCATTTAGTTATCCTCTGCTTTCTGAACCTTTTGGCTGCATCTGAGTCATGCTTTCAAACTTTTCTCTGCAACAATGAAGGCTAGAAACTTACTTTTTTAATGAAAGCTGAGATTCTCATCTAATCACTTGAATCCGGGAGATGGTGTTTTAAGAAAAAAAACAAATATTGCGAGACTCACAATCAAATTGTGAGAGTTGACAACACTGGAGATCAGCAATAGGGAAACCAAGATGTTTTGAAAACTGATTGCTGGTTCTTGGGCACGTGCACTCATTGCAATGTTTTGTTCTGAGGCCTGGCCCTTTAAGACTAAGGGAGTTGTATTCTCCAGATGGAGCACAAGATGGAGAATGATCAATTTAGCATCATGTGACTGGAAACCACATAAAGGAATAATCCTGGGTCAATATGGGGAAGATGAAGGTTAATTTACGACCCTGAAGAAAGTTCCGCCTTGAAGATCTAGCAGGAGGTCTAGGGATTAGCCAGCCAGGAAAGGCATTCACCCTTATTTCCCAGCTGGGAGAAAGCAAGACAGCTCTAACACTCTGTATTATTTTGAGGTTTTTTTAATCTTTTGTTAATAAAACCCACCCTGAAGAAACGGACATGAACTGAGTGGCTGTAGAGAGCTTTACTCTACCTTCCTTGACTGGTGAATTTGCCACTGGTTTAGGCTTAATGCATTCCTATAATTTATGATTAACTATTGCTCTACCAATAACTGCTTCAAGTATTAACACATTTGCACCAAAGGATCAACAGATCTGTAATAATGAACATTAACCAACCAAAAAAAAAGCAACAGGACATAACTTTCTTGCATTTTCATTTAGTACAATATTTTAAGCATCATCTGACTTTAAAAAAGGCTTCTCTTAATCATGAGGATGGCCCCTGAGCTGTTGAGTCCCTGAGCTGATTGCTTTCTTTCTATAGGCACCACCTGTGGTCAGTGCCTTGCCCGTGCAATATGAATTGTGGGCCAGATCCTCAAACAATGTAAATCAGTGTAGCTTCCTTGACTTCAATGGATCTATGCTAATTTACATCAGCTGAGGTTCAGTCCCTCTGCCTTTAATTGTGAGTTTACTTAATCTTTAGGGACCGATTTTTCCAAAATATGTATGGAGTTCAAATTCAATTTGCCCATTCACTTACAGCTACCGTGAGTGCGTGAATCATTCAGATGTATGCCCATGTAGTCCTGGTAATTACATGCACAATCGTGCACAAGTTCTTAGGTGAGCTATTGCACACAAAGAATATTAGTGTTATGCTATCATTCAAAAGCTTTGTGACAGGATATAACTTTTAGGCTGTGTGGAATCAAGGATCATGTCTAGAATCACACACTGCAATGTTTTCTTCCAATAGTTGTGAAGAAAAAGAAGCTAATGAGTTTTAAAGGGTTTGTTGAATGATTTAAAGTACTCCTTCTTCTGCTAATCCTGCTTGGGCTGAGTATGCTAGCACCCCAAACTCAGATAGCATGGGGAGTGAGAGAGGGGACCAATAGAAGCCACCACTCAATTAGGTGAGCAACCTTGATTTGTATTAACTTAATAGTACTAGATCAAAGAAATTTGCCAATGAACTCTTTCATTTCACTTCAGTGATTTAGCACATACAGGGTACACGCAGCAACACACTTTGGCCTTGTGCATATGCTTAATACATAAAGACAGACAAATAGCCTATTACCTTTTATTCACAGTGCTATAGTAAATACCTGCTCACCTGACATGAAAGGAGGTTACTCCTGGAAGTGCTGCTTTTGAAGGGATAAAGAACAATTTTATAATATTCACTCCATACATAGTAAAATAGATCCAAAATTCAGTATGACATTTCAAAACACATTGTCTTCCAGGAGCTGCAGCTTATCACTGACTACAACTATAACAAAACATTAGTTCTTTTGGTAAGGTCCAGAGATTTTGATAGTTGAGGAATATTCTATGGCATCTCTATTCATAGCATATGCACTGATTATCTACGGAAACAAACAGGGATACTTTTAATAAACAATTTCAAAGCAGCTAAATTATGACTAATTGTATGAGGTTTACACATTGTTTGAGGGGAAAAGTCCTGGGAGATTAACAGAGTTACAGTGATTTATTTTATCCTTCCTCTATTTCTGTGGTGAAGGCATGATTTTAAAAAAAATCAGCAAGTTTACAATATAAGCTTCTGTTAACTATACTAGCCCCTTGTAACAGTTTACAACTCTTGTTCATTACCTGGCACATTCAGTTATCTAAGTTTTCCCACCATGATACGAAGCAAACCCAGTGCTGATCCAGCTTAAAATATCCACAGCAAATTAATCAAACATATTGAAACAAAAACAAGTGAAGATGCAAACGAAAAAAACAACTTGTCAGGTCTTTTTTTGCATTATTTATGGTGGCCATATATATACAGTACCCTCATTTGATTTTGATTGCGCAGAATGGGACTATTAAAAGGACTGAACCGGTATTTTTCCCAAAGTAACGTGTTTTGTAGAATAGTAGAAATACATTTGAGCAAATTCCTGACACCTAAGGTTTCTGTTCCAGTTCCATATTTTACAGGGAGGCTCACATGAACTTTGCTAGTGTTGAAAAAGTCCTTTAATTTAGACATAAAACAGAATTTCTCAATAGCCTGACACTGTATTAAGAGATTCAGCAAAAAAGCAGTAGAGCCTCTTTTGAAATCCAGGGAAACTCCTCTCTTGGTATGTGTGTAATAACATAGCAATAAGTAACTCGGATGTTCTTTCGGCCTGGTCTACACTACAAGGTTAAGTCGATGTAAGCTGTCTTGCATCAACCTAGCTGTGGAAATGTCTTCACTTAAATTTGGCTCCCACCACCTTAAGTGCCTCTCTATGCCAATTTAGTAACACCACCTCCCCTAGGGGCACAGAGTCAATGCTGATGTAGTTATGCTTATGTTGACTGTTATTGGCTTTCAGGAGCTGTCCCACAATGCCCCACTAACAATACAAGTGATACAAGCACTCCCGGTGAGGAGGCGCAATGCTCACACAAAGAGCCAAGTGTGCACACGCACAAGTGATTTAATAACTGCACTGACTCTATGCTGAAGTTAGGTTGACATAATTTTGAATTGCAGACATGGGCTAAGTAAGATATTGATGCTTTCCTATGGCAGGTTGGGAGGCACAAGGCTGTGTGCCTTCAATAAGAGAAGTTAAATTCTGCACCACTGTGCACATGCAGAATTCATGTCCCCCATAGATTTTCTTTTCTCAGCAGAAAATACATTCTGCTGGAGAAGCACTGCAGTTACGCCTTTCACCCACCAGGGACTGCTGTGGCACAGAACAAAGGGCAGACAGCTCACTGGTCATATCAATCAATCAGCAGCTGATAGAGAGTTGGAGTGGCTGCGTTTCTCACAGTGCCCTGTCTGTGGGGCCAGGTGAGGAGACATATGATATGGTGGAGGACAAAGTAGGGCACACATGGCTGCTGGGTGGGTCACATAGACTGGGGCTCAGAAGGGCTAGTGGATGGACAGACTGGGGCGGGGATGAATAGGAGTGGGGGTGCAATGCCACATGGAGATGAGTAGGAGGGGTGGCTGAGTGGGGATGCAGGGACACATGAGGACAGGGGTAGATGTGCCTGACTGAATGGGAGAGGCTCCCCAACTCCCTAACAATCCCCCAACCAAAAAAACCTGTTCCATACTTCTCCAACTCACACCCAACCACCCTACAGGTTCACTCCTGCATTCCCAGCAATTATTTTCCTCTCCCTCAGCCCCTCCGTTCCTCTCCCTCAGCCTGCAAGCCTTTGCACTGCTTCTGAGGGGTGCTGGAAATACATTTCTGTATTGTAGTTTAAATGAATTATTACTCAGAGTTCTGTATTAATATGCCTAGTAAGGAATCTATTTGTCAAAAAACATTTCCTGAATCTCTTTTGTTACAGACATTTTGAAACTGGCATGATTCTATTGTGTTATTTTGACAAATAAAATATGCAGAATTTTACAGAATTTTAAAATATTGTGCTCAGAATTTTTAAGCACAGAATTTTTATTTTTTTGGCAAAGAATTCCCATAGGAGCAGAGAAGTGCACCAGTAGTCTACTACCACAGGAATGACTATGGGATTGTCTAGACGAACAGCAAGATGGGGTGAAATTCTACAGTGCATTAATATGCTGTGCACTTATGGTACTTACAGACCTTGCTACCATGCATTAGAAGTTCCCTAATGCACACTGACCTACTCCTGTTTCGAAGCACACAAGGGAACTTTTAGACTGCAGTAGCAAGGTTCATACAGACAGTTAGTGTGCAACATACTAGTGTGCTGTAGATTTACACCCCAGTTTGCTGCACACTCACTGCTCATCTTGACTAGCCCTTATTCTGATTAGAACATCACTTGTCCATTTACATCTTAGACTGAAATTATTTAAATAAATGGCTATTGGAAACAGAGTTGTTGTTTTTGGAACCAATTGTAAACTGGAATAACCCACCAATACCAAACTTTCCAACACATACTATATATGGGATTCTGCCTCCAAGGCAGGGTTAGAGCTTAGCAGTTCCTTGCACCCAGTGCTCACACCAAATCTCTTCTCCACACCTGAGAGAAGACATCACTACAGTCAAGGTGAGGGCTGATTCTTCTGCAATCTATGGAAATAGGTGCAACTCTCAGGCTTCTAACAAAACACTCATGAGGCTTTGGGATGCCCAAGGAAACCTGATGATCCTCCACCCAGACAGGTGAGCTGCATGAGACACATCTGGGCAGACAGCAAATGGCAAGTAATGCGAGAACTTTTAAATTATGACATATGGACTTTTCTATAAGACTGTCCACTGAGCAGGTTTGAAACCTGTGTATAAATAAAGGAGCCCTCAACAAGAGTGGCTTCTCACTGAGTATTTGTGGAGTGATTGGTGGGACCTGCAGTGGCACATTCCTAGTGCAAGGGAGCATCTGGAGGCCTTGACCCCTCATACAGCCAGAAAGGGAATACAAAGAAAACTGCCATAAAACTTGTGTCAGAACTCCCCACAGTGGCCATCATCTTGTGCTAAATCATCATCTTTACAATCAACTCTGCTAGCACTAGAAAAATCTACAGACTATTGGGTTCTTTCTATTAGGCACTGAAAAATACCAGGAAAAAATCCTCCCCACCCCCCCACCCCAAGAACATAAAGAGGAGTGTGCCTGCAACTGTGTTTTATTGCTGGTGGATAGTGAGAAATGGATTCTTGTCAAAGTCCTCCTCAGATCAGCCACAAAAAATATTAGGTAGTGTCTTCTCCAAGGACACAGCCTTCTTGCTCTTCTGTTCAGCTTTTTATACCACACGCATCACTGTGATAACCAAGCACCTTCCAAAATTAAAAGTAGACTGGGTGATGTATGACTGAGTACACTTTTTTTCTCCATTCCCTCACACAGGTGTGGGTGTGTGTACTTTTTTGGCATTTAAAAAACAAAAAGGCTTTATGGCACACACAGGCAAACAAGTTCAGAAAACCAAGTTTGTATTTTGATCAGAAAGTGACGAGGTCTATATATTTAGATACTACACAATGTACGTCAGATCCCTTCTCGTGGCTGCTACGGAGAGCACAGTTACTCCTTTACATCACATCATAGAATTCTGGGCTCAGGATCTGAGGATCCAGAGTTCAAACTTTGCTGACCACCAATGTTTGTTTGGGAACAGTGGGTTTGGGTACAGTGCATACCTCCTCTTTTTCCAGGTGAATTGAATAAACGTTTTAAAAAGAACCCCTCAAAATTTCCTTGAACAAAGGTTTTATAGTATAAAACTATTTCTCTGTCAATGACATGTCAATCTGACATGCAATGAAACACAAGTATTCCATCTTTTAGTCATTTTTCAGTCACTTGGATGAATTGTGTCACACATTGGCAGGTTTGAAGGTTGAGAGAGCTATGATAGCAAAGACTCCAGTGAAATGGGGGCCATAGTACCTGAATGCAGTTTGTAGCTTCAGTTCCCTTAGAACTAACAGGAAATAGCCATACTAACAAAGCTTTCTCCCCTTCTTCTATCAGAAACACCATAAGTGCTAATTGCTTCCTCAGTATCCGAAGGTAATGGTGATGGGTATGGGACAGGATGGTATCAATAACTGTATTCACCATATGGTAAAAGTAGCGTTCAGTTTAAATTGTTCAAGTCTTGGCTTTTATATGGAAATGGGCATACATATTGAGACTGAGACTAGAGTCAAAAGGTCACACAATATACAACAGTTTCTGCAGTATTTTGGCCCAATACTTTCAGGAAATCCTTTGCTACTCAGCTGCCTTATAGGAGTCAAAAATGTCTTTCCTTCTGGTGTCCAGAGGCCTTTCAGAAAAAATAAAATTGTGAGGTAGCAGAGTAGCCTTTTCGTTATAAAAATACCCCAGTCTCCCAAGCTGTCCAAAATTGTAGTGTTTGGTACACTTCAGCTGCTGTTTGACATACTACCACCATATCTATACCCAGGACCCTGTTTGCTGAGAATTTAAAGTATATTTTTGAGATTTTCCCCCTGCTTGATTGCAAAAAGGAAAATGTACATAATTATATTTTTCTTCTAGGGATTCGTACAAATGAGGGTAAATTTCAGTTCATGAATCCATTCCTAATCTAGTCTCCTTGCAGAATGGTATTCCAGCAAGGACCAATAACAGGCTCAAATCCACTTCCAATCAAGCAAGGAAAAAACACAAGAGAAAGCTTCAGACACTAGTAAGT